GTATTTATTTGGACTAAGTTCATTGGCAGAACAATTGAATGGGGGGTGGGGGAAGGTATGGAGGGCAACCATGGATGCCAGGGACAATGGGGGAGGAAGATGGGACATAGCAGAGGGTGGGGGATGGGGAATCAGGGATGGCAAGACAAAGGGCAAGGTATGCAGGACGTAAGAAATGGAAAATTATTTGCTGAGAACATGTATGTGGATGTGCTTGATTGAGCCAATGCACAGTGTATTTTGGATGGAAAATTCATTTGTGTGTTGTGATGGTGTAAAGTGAATTAATAAAAAAAAAATAGAAATAGCATGATATACACAGATTTTGTAAACATAACTTTGTCTATAAACTTGGACACTGAAGTCAGAATTATTTGGTTCATATTCTAGTTTTATCACTTAAAAAGAAGTTTAAAAATCACAATGGCAGAGGTCTGTGGATAGTACGGTGATTAAGGTACTGGTTCTCACATGTATGACCGTGGTTCCAGTCGCAGACCAAGCAGCTCGAGAATCACACCGGGTGTGTGTGCATGCGTATACAAAACTCTAAGAGGAAAATCAAGAAAAAGGGATTGCCATGTAGTTAATCCCCTGGGGGCTGATTTCTCACATTCCCTCTCTCTGTCTCTCTCCAGTAAGTACACATACACTCCATGGCAAAAAAAAATAAAAATAAAAAATAAAAATAAAAATAAAAAACACAATGACATTACGGTAGCTTTTTTTTAAATACCAACTTATAAATGTTGATAGAACATGGAGAAATTAAAACCCTTGTACACTGCTGGTGGGAAATGATGCAGCTGCTGTGAAAAACAGTATGTAATTTCACCCAAAAAATCAAACGCAAAATTAATATCTGATCCAGCAGTTCTAATTTTGGCTATAAACACAAAAGAAAGCATGAATTAGAATATTGGTATACCAATATTCACAGAAGTATTATTTGAAACAGCCAAAAAATAGAACAACCCAAATGTCCACTGATAGATGAAATGATACACAAAAGTGTGTGTGTGTGTGTGTACGCACGTGTGCATGTACATACAAGGAAATCTTATTCAGTATTAAAAAGAAAGGAAATTCTGGTACATGCTACAATATGGATGAACCCTGAATACATTATGCTAAGTAAAATAAGCCAGTTGCAAAAGGACAAATATTGTTTGATCCGAAGTCTGGGGTAACTGGAGTAGTCAAATTCAGAGACAGGAGGTAGAAGAGTATTTGCTAAGGGCTGAGGAAAGGGGAGGGACATTATTATATGTATATATTTTCACCTTGAGAAAAAAAGTTTTGTAGGTGGATGGTGGCGATTTATGATTGAGCAAAAATATGAATTTACTCAATGTACCTGAACTATAACCCTAAGTACAGTTAACATGGTAAATTTTACATAGATCTTACCATGATAAAAAAAAAGTTTTAGATCCCACTACTATCAGTTTCACTAAGTATTTGAGATAGTTGCCCTTCGTCTTTACAGACTGCTTTTCTGACCTTGGGCTGGTTATTTAACCTCTCCAATGTCTAGAAAAGCTCTGAGAATCTGGCACAAAACAAACACCTAACACAAACTGTCTGCTGCCTCCAAACCCCTATCACTCTCCTCCTAAGAGCCTAACCTCTGGAAGTATGAAAAATACAAGCAGGACAGGCAGATGGCATAGTGGTTAATGCGATGGACTCCCACATGGCTGACCACAGTTTGAGTCTCAGACCTGATGGCTTCCTTTCCCATTTTCCTTTTCTCTCTCTCTGCCTCTGGTCAAATTAATAATAATAATAATAAATAACATTAAATAAAAATATTTCTTAAAGAAAAAAGTACAAGGCAGGGAAACAAGTGATTCTAATTCCTTTTTTTTTTTTTAGAGGTTTTTGCTATAGGGCGCGTGTGCTCACCAGACAGACAGAGACAGAGAGACAGAAAGTGAGAAATCACCCCCCAGGGGGGATGGCCACGCCACAAACCCTTCTCCTCCATTCTCCTCTCGGGATCTTGGGCGGGCACACACACACACACGCGCGCGCGCACGCGCCCGGCGTGAGTTTTAAGCCACCGGGTCTGGGACACGAACCGCAGTCGACTACATGGGAATCCAGCAACATAGCCATTACGCTATCTGCTGGTCCCAAGTGATTCTAATTCTAATGTAATGTAAATTCTGAGGCATTTGGAGGCTGCTACTTAGATGAATGTCCATTCTCCCCACTTTCCAAGAAGAAAGTCACCAAACACTTAGAAAATATTGCAAATGCGGGACCAGCAGATAGTGTAATGGTTACGTCATTGGACTCCCACATAGTTAACTGAGGTTCATGTCCTGGACCCGGTGACTTAAAACTTGTGCCAGGCGCGTGTGTGTGCATGCCCAAAATCCCAAGAGGAGAATGGAGGAGAAGGGATTGCAGCATGGCCATCCTCCCCAGGGGGTGATTTCTGTGTCTCTAAATAAGTAAATAAAGTTAAATAAAATAATTATTAAAAAAATATATAGCTGAATCCCACACAGTCAACTTTGTGGTTTGAATCCGAGATCAGGTGGTATGAAAGACACACTGGGTACATGTAAGAGTGTGCTCAAAGTTCCAAGAGATGAATGGAGGAGAATCATATGATTTCTCACTTTCCTTCTCTCTCTGGCACGCATACATGCTCTATACCAAAACTTTAAAAAAAAAATATCTCTCACTTTACCCTCTCTCTTGCTCTTCCCTTTCTGGTCAAATTTAAATAAATAAATAAATAAAAATTAATTAAGTTTTTAAAATATATGTATATATATATTTGCACTGAAGTACTATTCAAAATACAAAATTACCAGCCCCACTCCTCTGGTCTCTTACAAGAGACTGACATGACATAGTCACACTTACCTATACTGCCACCCAGTGACAAGGTTGGTGTACTTCATTAAATAGCCATATACATTTTCCATGTGATCACTGTTTCAAAAATAGAAAGAGCCAAAGTCAGTGAAAAGTAGATGAAATCTCAGGAAAATAACAGTATGGTTTTTAAAACAGTTCTAGACATCTATATTTTCTACAAACACTTCAAATTTTATTCAGAAGTAAATTTACAGGTTAACAAACAGGTATTTAATCCCCCAAATTTCGCATCTGTTAACATTTTATCAGATTTATTTAAAACAATCATAATATACCATCAATTATTACATATTGTATTCAAATATAAAATCATTATATAAATGTAAAAATTACATAAAATATAAAATAAATGTACTATAAGTATATATGTAAATATATTAGAATTTTTTTCAATACTGAAATAACAGAATCCAGTTTTTTGTTTGTCTTTAATTATTTATCTTATTTGTTAATTATTCTTCAATTTGACCAGAGAAAGAGAGAGGGAGTGTGAGAAAGCAAGCTGCCAGGTCCGGGACCTGAACCAAGTTCAGCCATGTGGGAATCCGGCACCTCAACCATCACGCCACCTGCCAGCCCCTAGAATCCAAGATTTTAAATTAATCAATCATTTCTTTCATGAGTGAGAGAGAGAAACAGAGAGAAAGAGACAGCACTCCCAAGAGCCTTGATGCCACAATGCACCCGTCGCAGCCAGTACAGACCTCGGGCACATAAGATGAGCTAGTACAGGGCAGTCTTCAAATGCCTAGCACCTTCTCACGTGGGTCGGCCTCACTGAGCATTGTGTTTTACCTCTGCACCTCTGTCAGGCCCGAGAGCTTAGTTTTATGACTCGACAATAAACTAAAAAAGTTCTTTGATCAAACCATGCCTAACTCTGGTGTGACACACAGAGGTCAGTCCCTGCGTTCTGCCTTCTTGGTTCCTACAGGGAAAGTCCTGTGTTTAGTGTGACACCTCCCTCCCATCTCCCCATCCTAGATAGGCAAGAGGTAACGTGCTCACGACAGGTCTTGTCACTGGGAAGATTTTATTCAGGACCTGTATCATTAGCCTCCCTACAATTGTGTTTCTTTCTTTTTAACTTTTGCTATAGGATGTGTGTGCTCACCAGAGACAAGGGGAGAGGCAGAGTGAGAAAGCACCCTTCAGAGGGGACAGTCACATGCAATTCCTTCTCCTCTCCTCCCCTCTCCTCTCAGGATTCTGGGGCACACACACAGAGAGGTTTTTGTTATACAGCGTGTGCACTTGCCAGAAAGACAGAAAGAAGCAGACAGACAGAAAGCAAGAAATCACCCCCCAGGGGGTTGGCCATGCCACAATCCTTTCTCCTCCATTCTCCTCTTGGGATCTTGGGCACACACGCACACACGCATGGCGTGAGTTTAAGCCACCAGGTCCGGGACTCGAACCGTAGTCAGCTACATGGGAGTCCAGCGACATAGCCATTATGCTAATTGCTGGTCCCCCTTGGTGTGTTTTTCAAGCAACCAAGTCCAGGACTCAAACCACGTAGTCAGCCAAGAAGGATCCAGGGCTGCCTCAACCACCATGCCATCTGCTGGCCTCAATTGAGTTTCTTTACTTCTTGACCCCTTACATCGTTTTTTCAAAAGAATTATTGGGACCAGCAGTTGGCGTAATGGCTATGTCACTAGACTCCCATGTAGTCAACTACAGTTCGAGTCCTGGACCTGGTGGCTTAAACACATGTGTATGCGTGCCCAAGATCCCGAGAGGAGAATGGAGAAGGGATTGCAGTATGGCCATCCCCCCTGAGGAGTGATTTCTTGTCTTTCTGTCTCTCTGTTTTTCTGACAAGCACAAATGCCCTATAGAAAAATCTCCCCAAAAATAAAAAAAAGATTTATTTATTTAGGGGCCAGCAGGTGGCATGGTGGTTTAAGGGAGCTGGGCTCCAACATGGCTGATCACAGTTCAAGTCCTGGACCTGGTGACTTCTTTTTTCACCGCCCCCCATACACACACACACTCTATACCTCTCTGGTCAAATTTTGAAAGAAAAGAAAAAAGAAAAGGAAAGGAAAGGAGAGGAGAGGAGAGGAAAGGAGAGGAGAGGAGAGAGGAGAAGAATAAAGAAAGAAAGGGAGATTCTTTTAAAATTACTTATTTAATTGTATTTGTTTATTATTATTCTTCATTTGATCAGAGAGAGAAAGAGAGGAGAAGTGTGAGAAAGTAAGCCACCAGGTCTAGGACTCAAACTGTGGTCAGTCAAGTGGCAGTCCAACACCCCAACCACCAGGCCACCTGCCGGCTCCTATTTTTTTTGTCATAGGGTGAGTGTGCACACATGAGGGAGACAAAGTGAGAGAGCATACCCCATGGGGCATTGTCATGTCACAATCCCTTCTCCACCTCTCCCTCCTTTGGGGATTTTGGGTACACATGCACATGTACCTGGCATGTTTCTTAAGCCACAGGGTCCTGGACTGGAACCATGTAGTCAGTCATGTGGGAGCCAGTCTCCTGAACCACCACTCCAAGGGCTGATGTCATTTCTTACAGGTATGTTCTGTTATAGTGGTTCGTAGGAAACTCAGTATCTCATTGATAATTCTTTTCAATAGTTTAAGATTCCTTCTACTTATAAAAGCACAGTAAAGATAAGCCAATACACCTATGCATGTCCAAGATTCTGTGAGGAGAATGGAGGAGAGGGGATTGCAGCATGGCCATCCCCAATGG